AGCACTCGCATTGTAAAAATGAGGCGGAAATCGTGCCCAACGTAGGCGGCGCCCTTCTTTTTAACCATGCAAGTTTTCTACACTTCGTGCCCAACGTACAGGGCGCCCTTCTGTTGCTAAGTACATCCAGACGCAAAAGGCGCCATTCCTTTTTCACTAATGGAGAAAAACTTTTTCACTAAGAGTGCGTCCGGCCATACGATTCTGCGCTGTATTGTTGTTTTATTCTTTACTGATTCATGATTATGCTTTAATTGTTTTGTGTTTTATTTAGATAATAGCAACGCTTTCTACCGCCACCAAGGAGGTTATGTATTCACCGATGTCACTGTCTGGGTGTCTATTCCAATTTGTTTTTATATCTAGTAAATAAAAAGTGATTGGTAAAAACTCCTAATACTGGTACGTCGGTAAAGAAGTGCAAAATTTTACCTTTCTCTATCCTTTGGAAATCGATATAAATTATGACCCTGTTTGTATGATGTGTTGCAATTTACTGCACAGCAACGCCCTCCAATACCGTACGTCGTCACAGCGCATCGCAGTGTATAATTTTTTAATTGAGAATTGATAATAAAATACGCGACGACTTGGTAACAAAAGTTTGGCAGAAGTTTTTTTAGATCCAGCTGTAGGGGGCGTCCCATTGTTTGTATTCCCAACATGCATTTCGGTGGACCACTTTTTTTGTGTGTGGAGAACTCTATCTTGTATTTCTAGTATTTTTGGTTTTAGCCAAAAGTGTGCTATATACGTACGCAACTAGTCCACCAAGAACTGGTGTCATATCGAACTAATGAATATTCATATACACAGTATATAGAGTGAACACAGCAGTCATGCGTATTATTCTCTATGTACAATGTTATCTGTAGGCCTGCAGATGTACAGGACATAATAACGTTACTCTCTTCAGGTCCCAAAATCTCCAAGTTAATGAAAATTTAAATTAAATATTCATGAATTATGTATTTGAGAAATCCATTATAAGACCCTCAAAATGCTAATTTGTCGGAGGCTAATGGGGGGCTTTTCTCACAAATCCCTTCCTGTCCTCTGACCCTGGACTACCAAATTTCAAAAAGTCCGCTTTTTAAAAACTATTTCACTAAAATCTCTCCTAATTATCGCGAAAATGCTATAGTATGCATTACATTTTTTGCCCGCTCTTCTAACCGTTGATAATGTGCTACGAAATCTGTTATCAGCTCCAGTGATTGCAGAGTGATTCATGTCATCTGTAGGCCCGAAGGGCATAAAAAGTTTCAACTTCACAGTGGCGGATTCAAGGGGGAGAGCCCCTAAAATTATAAAAGAAATGGAGAAAAAGAAAAATCACAATTAAATTTTGTCTGAGAGTGCCATTTCCGGCAGTCTAGAGGTGCCATAATCATAAATTTTCTTACCTCAGCCCCAACCATGGTGGGGCTGATGTGGTATTGCTTGTCTGTCTGTGAAAGTTCCTACCTGCACCCCACCCTCTCTATTTCTCCCTAAACAATACCCAAATGAATGAAAATTTAAATAGAATATTGCAAATTATGAGTTTCAGAAATCCACTATAAGGGCCTCAAAATGCTAATCGGAGCTTCCTGGAGATTGCCCCTCTCCCCTGCATTCAGGCCCGTAGGCAAGGAGTACCGTTTTGCTATAATTATGTTTTGTTATAATTATGATTATGAAAAAGAATATGAAATAAATTTAAAAAAAATTTGCCTTAATCAATATCCAATTTCTATATAACTATTACAACTAAAAGATGACACTTGCATGGCAATCAGTGCGGATACGATTTATCCTATCACTAGAACTTCCAATCGAGGAAGGTTGGAACTTTTGTGTAGAAACCATATTTATACTGTCGTCCACATCCTTCGCCCCAACTCAATAACCCGAACAAGTACCATTGTCCTTCGTACAAAATGGGGTCGCCCACCGCTGTCTCCCCAAACAGGCGTCACTCGTCTCGCGTTCATAACCAGCACAGAACATTGTACTTGTCACCGTATAATCTGTAGACGAAACGCACTTTCTTTGACCGACCACGGGTACAGAAATCTCATTCATATATTGTGGTGAAGGGCCACCTTCTCTTAGTTTTCCCCATCATTTACACGACCAAGACGGCGAGGTTTGAAAATGTTTGCAGTTAAAGTTTTTGTTGGTAGACATATAGGTCATACGTAATCAGTAAAATTTAATATCGGCGTTCCTAGTTTAATCATGCGTTGATCTTCTCAATTCTGTAAAACATATCTTCAGACTCCCTGTAAAGAGAGTCATAGTCAGCCACACGAATAAGTGTATTTCTCTTTTTGACTTGAAACAGACTATTCATACAATGTGCCGCTGTCACTATCCATTCAGAGTTTAGAATATTGCCACCACAGAAATGTTTTTTTTTTGTCTGAAGTGGTATAAACATACCATACATTGTGCTGAGCCTCTAACTTTTCCGTTCTCAACCCGAAAACTCTTTTTCCCGATCTTCTTGATCTAAAACAACTTCTGTTGATGTGACACTAAAATATTCATAGAATTGATTGTCTTCGAAGGCAAATGTAAATGCAAAAGCGACCTGCTGAATCAAAGGTCAGGAATGTCTAGGATGCCTTTTACACAAAATTCTCAACCAGAGTTAAATCGTTATTTAAAATCATATAGGCCTACTGTACTCAATTCGTGCATTTAACGAAAGCTAGAGTCATCATGTATTTATTAACATATGCTTAAAACCTTTATTATATTTCATTCATATAAGAAAGTGGTTGAAATTGAATATAGCTGTCAATAACCAAATATAATAAAAACTGTTTAAAAGAAACATTTTAAATAGTACATGAAGGTGTCATTTCAGGTCATTTGGAAATGTCATATGCTTACATATTTTTTTAACGTATGAGCATAATAACCCTGCCATAAATGACTTATTTTTTTAAATACTTATTTATTACACGTGTATTTTCTTATCAAATCAAATCTGTATTATCCAAAAGCACAGAAATTGGTTTTTATTTATTTATTTATTTATTATTATTATTATTATTATTATTATTATTATTATTATTATTATTATTATTATTATTATTGTGTTTAAGACGCAGTATACATAATTTAAATATTATTTACTATGTATATATGTGTATGTATGTGTATGTGTGCGTGTGTGTGTTATATGTGTATATATGTATATATATATATATGTATATATATGTATATGTGTCTATGTGTATGTAATGTATATATATATATATATATATATATATATATATACATCTAGTCTATATGGAATTTCGCAAGGTACGGTGCCTAGGCAGCGCACTGAACTTCACACAGTTCCTATTATTGCTTACGTAAGCAAAAATATCAACATAACAATCTTTTTTAAATCAAAATAATTAAGTACATATTGGAAATGTACTTGGCTCCAATGTGTATGGTGATGATAGTAAGAATGATGATAATAATGGTAATTATTTCTATTTTTTATTTCGTGATATGTGACATACACTGTAAATATAGTCATATAAATATATTATTTGGCCTTTTGTTAAGTACATATTGGTAATTCGAGATATGTGCGTTCTTCTATGTGTACTGTGAATTAAACTTTTTGGCAATAGAGTAATGATATTAAGAATAATTAAAAACAAAAATATAATAATAAAAAGTACTGTCTTACTACTGTCAATAATGCAAATACTAGAAAAACTTTTAAAAAAATTAAAAAGGTTTAAAGAATGTTTACAAATAATTGTTAGGACAAAGATATTATCAAAATGCCATATTGTTTTTTGTTTTAGCAAAAATTATTGTGAAGGTACTCAACATGTTTTTTTTATTTCCATTTCATTAATTGAGTTGATCTATGCAAACAAGTGGACAATAAAAGTGGCAGCTTCCCACATGAAAGATAAAAAAAGCACGGAAACGTAAGCTACCAACGAAAAATTATTGCACTAGGCATTTCATAAATTGTTTTCAATCAAGATAGACATAAAAATGTACAAAAATCACAAGTTGACAAATTTACATTGATTAAAAACCCTGATAAAAAAAATTATAGGCCTATTATAATCTAAATTTACAAAATAATTTTTAAATTTATAAAGCTTTACAATTACAAATTAATTAATAAAGATAAAATCAATAAGATAAAAAATTCCCCAAAACAAGTGAAAGCGTATTATATACATAATTTGCAAAATCATTCATTCCATTTCCAAATTCGAGAAGATTATAAGATTTACAATTTTAAATAATTATTCAAATAAAAAAAACCAGCCAAACATTATCTATGACAAAACCGATTAACAATAACAATTGAAGAAGGAACAAAAGTATTAGTAAATCTAGTGATTCGGGAATAACATATGGTTATTGTATAGTAGGGCCTATAAAACAGCGTCCCATTTCCAGGCATCTAGAAGTCCTATGCGTTGTCGCACCCCATGGTGGGACTGAAGTGGGTGCCTCTTCTGTCTTTTAGAACGGATCGCCCACAAACAAGAAATATCAAAGTTTAGTTTTTCTATTTGTATAACCCAAGAATATAGACACAGAGCTTTTCTTATATATTTTATTTTTACTTTCTTACTTTTGCCAGTGGAACACAAACTATAAACAGTTACGTAGGCTACTAACATCTGAAAACAATATAATAAATACAAAACAAGGACTGGGATAGCGTTAAAGTACCTTGATCAATGCCAAGCAGGTCATCCCTTTAAATATATTAATATTATATTTTGAATCACATAGCTAACAGTTTTGACAAGACTATAAAAACACTTTTCCAAAAATATACAGTAATCGACTAAAGAAACGCAACTGTCTTAAGACAAAACAATAAATAGATGTGTGTTTCGTTCTACAATCTGAATTGTAGTGGTACTAAAATGTGCACTATTCGTACTGCTGCGAACAAACGCTTAAACATATTTTAATCTCGTGCAAGGTGCTGGTAGTATTCTCGCGTGTATATGGTGTTTCTATGCGACTACTTTTCGGCGGTCGACCCGCATCCGTCATCAGTTTTCAAAACGCTAGCATTGTATTGAGTTGTAGTGGAGTTGCAGTAATATTTCCTTGTGGTAAACCAGCAAAATGCAGCAATGGAGTAGTGATACATGGTCTGCCTCCACAACGGCTGATAGTCCAGTCCCATTCTACTCAAGAAATTCTAGTGTGTACACAACGTCTTCCAGAACAGAAGCGTCTTCCACTCATATAACTTCAATTGCGAGCTCACATCAGATGCCGTACGCTTGTCATAGGTATCCGTATTATAATAACTTAGATGCGTCGACGACGTCCCTGTCATCGGCACTATCATCGCCCTATAGTGCTGAAGAGTTCTCGGCATGGAGTTCATTCGATTTGGGATCTCAGCAACGTAGCTACTCCAGTCACTTTGCTCCTGCAGCTCCCACACCTCTACCTCCTGCCAACGTTGCACCTGCAAGAGAAGCCTACCTCTCAAGTAGCGCCTACAGTCACAATGCCGGTTTCCCATTTAGTATGTCTGGTGAGTACTTAATTAGGACTAGCCGTCTTTATCTTTTCAGTAGAATAAACCATCACGTTTATCAAATCTTTATATTAAAAATAAAGGGCACTTTTCATTATTTACCGTATGCTTCAAATAATAAATTAAGCATTAAAAGTTTGAAAGTACTTAATAGGCCTACATTAACATTTAAAAATAGTGTTTTGACCGTGACCTTTGTCTTTTATCATTAATATTATGTAGGCCTACTTCTTGTTAGTGCTATGCTTAAACAAAACGAGCTATTCTACCACGTACTATCTGTTGATGTCTGTATCTTAGTGAATATAGACAGTAGGCAAAATAATCTTACAAAACAATTTTGTCAATATTAATGTGTTTAATTATGGTCTTCTTTATTCTCTGACAAAATTTATATAATGCCAATGTATCGAATATCGATACTGAAGACTTACATCTTAGGTACTGTACGTTCCTGTTGTAAACACCAGGCCCGTAGCGTGACTTAATTTGTGGGAGGTTCGTTTCAGTGGAAAGTGCACCCTTTGGAAACGATTATACAATAACGTAATATTGTTAGCTGGGAAAGCTTAAGAAATGCCGACCTGACATCTGGCTTGTATCATTTCCGATACTCCTGAGAACATTGTAAATATTTTGACGAATATCAATTTTTCGTTTTTAAATGCGGACTATCTCCTGTTTTTGGGCGGTTCGTCGTAACCCCCTTCCCCCCCCCCCCCTCCACGCTACGGGCCTGAGACACTGTGGTTATTCTGAACAATACGCTAAATCAAACAAAACACTGGTTACATGATGGTATACATAGCGCATGAGTTAAAACAGTCAAATCTGTTTCATTGTGAAACTTAAGTACTTTGCGTGCGAAGAATGTACAGGTTGATATGATAGGGGATAGGATAACATATCTAATATTAGCAGGATTATTAAAATTTCATTTGCAATGTTAGGTCTTGTCTGAAAAAGCATGAATGCTTTACCAGTTTTAATGCACCTAACTTTGGTTTGTCGTTGGTGTTGTTCTGTATTGTACGTAAAACCATCATTTGGTGTTAATAGCCTAATTATTAATACCTCAATCCGTAAAATCACAAATTATACCATATTTTCTATCAATAATTAAGCCGACAATATTTCTGAAGATTGTTCACTCCGTATGGTGTACTGAAGGTGATTTTATTTAGGAGGGCTCTTAAGCACTTGGTGCTTCTCATAAACACCGTTGGCGAGAAACAACGGGAACAAGCAAATAAACAAGAAAGAAATAGCTGGAGTATTACTAGGCCTTAGCCTTTACTTCCAGTCACCTTTCAGCAAAATTTTGCCTAGACAAAGTTAACTAAACAATGGTATGTATATTTAACAACAACTAGTTATCCAAAGCAAATAGCCGGGTTTTTTTTAATTGCCGGTACTGCTCAAAGAATAAATTAACACATTTTAATATATTGTAAATTTGAGCGGTCAACATAATAAAAGTGACTGCCCGGTATTGTCTATTGGTTTAATCAGATTCATATTTATTGCTCATCACGTAAAGCAATATATGAAATTTGTTTTCCTGAGTTGTAATACACAGATAAAAATTCATTCAAATATTTAAGTACATAAGATCCATTAAAAATATTCTATAAAAAAAATATTAGTGTAAAAGACATCACAGAAATTATTACATACCACATCAAAATACATAAATGTTTAAACAGTTATATAAAATATTCAAGTACAGTAGATAGTAAATTCTTACTTAGACTATTCCAATCAAAATATTGTACACTTTTGTTTTCAACAATTTAATAATTTATGTTTATCAAAGTTAATATCTTCCTAAACTTGACCAGATTTGTCGCACCTGAATTCGTGTTTAATTCGGGAAAAGGTTTATACGTTTATTAAAAACAATGCAAAACCACCATTTTAAACCCTTGACTAATTTAATTAAAAGAACAATAATATATTATGTGTTGTGTTTGCTTTGAAGGCCCTAATGCTAAACAGGGGCATATATTACCGTAGCAAGTAGTGACTGCCACGGAATTTCTGTTAAATAAACCGAAATTAAATTATAGTATGGAAAACATTAGATAACAAATTGAATTTATCGCAATTGTTTTATTCTACAATACAATATTTTAACTTCCTTTTATATTTTGCGTTAGTTCGTTGAAAATTCGCATATATTATTTAGCATAGGCCTATTCTTTTCTTCATACGCCTTTAGAATTAATTTTAGTATAACAAAAGTTATTATACTCTAATGTTATAAAGATCGAAACAATTTGCTGATCTACAGACCATTTACTGTTTGCCAACCCGTCTGGTCTAGTACGCAAACAATGAACTAAGATAGGGGAAGTATTAACAACTTCTGGTGATGAACACTTGTTATAATAATTTATCTTTATCTACAAAATTAAAAATGATGAATTTAATTGATCGAGTTATTAGCTAAAACACAGATAATAGGCCTAGTATTTATGCAATAATGCATGTTAATATTTAATAACGAATAGTAAATCTTTTGTTGCAGTAGTTTTTGAGTGCATTATGCTTCTTAGGCCTATATATTTTGACATGGTTGTTAGTCACTGACAGTCTTTATCAATATTCCTGTTTTAATAATCTGTAGCACTTTGGTAGGGCCATATTGATAATTCGTAAGCACACGAATCCATGACTTGATGATAGAAACAATTCAAGTAAACACAATACGTTCTTATAACGTTCGCGAACGTTGTGGTTAGGTATGTCACAAAATAACGTTCACACAACGTTGTAAGAACGTTCAAACGTTGTGAAATTAGGTTATAAGTACGTACATATGGGTTTACACAATAGCGTTTTTATCACCAAACTGTAACGTTATTATAACGTTCTTAAAACGTAATATTGTTAGCTGGGCTTCCAGTCACGAGAAGTATTTTTTAAAATTATTTTTATCATCATCCGGTATAAAAATCAGGGCACACAATTTTTAAATTCAGTCATTTCAATTCTCAAGTTAGCAATGTGTATGTTACTGCAAAATGGGCAAGTTTGTTTCAATTTTTCCTGATTTTTTTTTAGGGGACAAAGGATCTTTAATAACTTAATGTGTGATCGTATCATAACCCAGTTCTTGTAAGAAAAATACCAGTACTTTTACTACTTAATTTTATTAAATATTGCGATTTATATAAAAAAATTATTTTTGCTACATGTATGTTTTATGTACCTATTAAACAGTGCAATCTATAAAGTTATATTTGTTTAGTTTATGTAAATTGAAGTAAGATACGACGGCCCCTGATCAATAATATTATTATTTTGTTTAGTATTTTAAAAAAAATTATTGGTATATTGAAAATAAATAGGCCTATGCGGTAACATTGTAACTAGATCTGTTATTGAATTGAAAGACCACCTTGTATAAATGTGACTGTATTTGTTTGTATTTGCCTATATTACGATTTATTATGAACAAGTCAACAGAGATGATTGAATTACAGACCCAACAGAACGAAATATAACCGAGGCACATATTTTAAATGTAGCAATTATGAAGACATCGTCAACGATAAAAGATAAAGATTATAAATGTACAGTGTTTTTTAGTATTTTCCAAAGATATTGAAACGAGATTAATTAACATGTTTATATTAAGTAGTAAACGATGTAAAACGTACCGTATAAAAACAAATTGGGGAGCTGGAATTGAGTAGTAGTTATACTATGTTTTTGGAACGCTAGACACTCTACTGAGTGGGTGAATTACAAATACTTATAAAATCAAGTTTAATATTTTATTTTCGTTGTTTACATCCTGCATTATGCGCCTGATTAAACCATGACCTGGATTTTTTTATGTCACATTCTTTTCTGAATTATTTCCAGTGGGGACCTTCTGGTGGTGATTGGGCAGTACACCGGGAGACAATCCCCTACTGTGTTCTTTAACGTACACGTGGGTCATTTTGTACACTGGACCAACGGCTTAACGTCTCATCCAAAAGACGTAATCCGAAAGACGGTGCGCTATCGTGACTTGCATTTCAGTCTGCTGGCTGTAACACAAGGAGGGCAACGATGGTAACTGAACCGCTGACCTAGAGATTCGGTTCAGCGCACACATAGTGGCTACCACCAGCTCAGCTGTTTTCTTTTTTTGTCTTTCGTGGGTGCATCCCACCTTTATTTCAACCATCGCAGAATAATTTTTTTGACAATTTTTTGTGAGGGTTATTTAGGTATGGAGATACAAATCCACAGGTAATAAATACATATAATAATATTTGAGATAAACATTATTCCCCATCGGGATCCGAACCCAAGACCCATACATATCATACACATATTAAATGTATTTAAGTACTCAAACCCTCTTTTATGTAAAGAGGTATGGTAGTCTATGTACATTTCAACTGTTAAAATTATATAAATATACTTCAAATAGATATTATACAAAAATATGATAAAGTAAATGAATGAATCAGTGTTGGGTAGAGATGCTATAAACCCAGAAGAGGCATAGAAGCCTTCCTTTTCACCAAGACATTTTATTTTGAAATGATAATTGTAGAATATTGAAACAGATTGAAACAGAGTTAGAACCATAGCACGTAGTGATAATAAAATTTAAAACCATAAGTTTAGGGTCCACACACGGTGCAAGTCCACGACTATATCTGTTTATCTTGGCTCTGTATGTACGTGAGACGCATCATACCTACATTTTTCTCGAAATAATTAACATCCAAAGATAATACCATATTTTCATTTCATTTCTTTAATTACCACCACTTTTGTTCAATAAAATAAACCAAGTGGTCACTAAAACCATTTAAACATTATACAAACACACCTTTGTCAAGGGTAAATTGCTTAGCTGTTTTCTATGAGAATTTAACACATGACTCACATGGAAAAAACACATACCCAAGCATTTACACAAACTGTAAATAATTTCGTGATATATAAGTCTTGATAATGATACAATAACTTTTAATGTTTCAATTGCA